AGAGAGAGAGAGAGACAGAGAGAGAGTGTCCTGGTGTGGTGCTATGGATAAAGCACTGAACTAAAACAGTCAGTTTGAAGCACAAAATCATACTCCTTGGAAACCCTATACGGAGTTCCTATGGACCTATTTTCATTTTCTTCAGCTTTAACCTGAGGTTGTATATGAGCAATTGACCAGCTATTCCACAGATAGATCCTGGCCCTAAAACATTTTTTAGTTAGGGAATATGAAACCTTGTTGATAGATGGACAAAGTGTATTGAAAAGCAAGAAGATTATGTCATAAAAATGATGTCTTTGCTTATAAATAAATAAATAAACAAATACACACACACACACACACACAGAAAGAATCTGGGAAAGGAAATAAATATTACGTGATTGTGCCGATGTTGTTAACTCATGAATTTTATAGTCAGGCCATTCTACTGAACTGTGGGAAAGAAAACTCACCTCTGATTTTATCACAAAATCTTTAAAATATTATGTTATGTTTTATTCTTTGCAGACTTATTGAGCAAATGGAAACATATTCCTTGTCTTTGAACAACGCACCAGTGATAGAACCTAATATAGCAGTACAATCTGTTAATTTGTCTTCAGAAGACACTGAAGGGTCTGAGAGTGTTTTCTTTTCTGTGTTGAAAGGTGAGCTGTTTGTAATAGCAGAATACATTCCACTACCAACCCTGAGTGATATTCTATTCATGAAAATATAGACTTTTAAAATTCTTTCTTTTCTCTTTCTCATAGGATCCAGCAATTCGCTAACTGATGGTTCAACTCGTGTAGCTACAAACATAAATACCCTAGAGCCAGATGAACAGACTGAACTTCAGCTCTTGCTTCATACCACAAAAAGTATGTCTCAAACTTCATTAAATTTTTTTAAATGGACTCAAATTCATGGAACTGATAAGAAAATTCATTGAAGGAGGAAAAATGTTTACTTAACTTCACACTGAATAACATGTACTTGTATAATTTGTCTTCTTACATATTTTGGTAATCTCAATTTAACTAGTCTAAGTCATTTCTTTTTATTTCCTTTTCAAAATGAGTACTTCAGAAGGTATCAGAATTGAAATGCTCAGGTCATGGAAACAAATCTATTTTTCTACAAATATTTTGCTAAGCAGTCTGATTTACATTCATGCATTTAAAATATATATGTATATATATTCAACCCACAAGCTCTATCCATATTTCTTAATGACATGACACTCACAGGTTTATCCTGCAGATTCTCCCTTGGAATATTTTATGGCATTGATACAGTCCTTATATTAGTAGTGATTTTTGATGTCTCTAATTTGATACCCACCATGGGCACATTGAGCCCTGCTATGGCACTTCAGGGTAAGCTCTGCACTGCTAATCACCCTAGCCCCAAAGTGGACAGTTCTAGGTCACTATGGCACATGATAACAATAACATCGGCACTCTTATCATTTTGCATATGCCCTTTTAAAAGCTTAACTGTCTAATTTTAAATGGTTGTGCTTTTCAAAGTCTTAAAAAAAAAAAAAAAATCAGGAAAGTTGTGTATCATCAGTGTTGTTGTTAAGTCCCGTAGAGTCAGTTCTGAATCATAATGCCCCTGTATAGGGTTTCTGAAGCTTTAAATCTTCATGGGAAGAGAAAGCCTCATCATTCTCTTGTGGATAGGCTGGCAGGCTTGAACCTCAGACCTTGTGTTTTGCAGTCCAGTGATTATCATATGGAGCCACCAGGGTTATATTGTATTTATTCACCAAACATACACAATCTATATGTTGAGCAAATAATCCAAGAAGTTGGACTATATGAAGAATGAGGTATCAGGATTAGAAGAAGGCTCATTAACAACCTGTGATATGCAGATGGCACAACCTTGCTTGTTGAACATGAAGAGAACTTGAAGCACTGATTAATGAAGATCAAAGACTACAGCCTTCAGTACAGATTGTTGTTGTTAAGTGTGATCGAGTTGGTTCTAACTCAGAGGGATCCTTCATAGGGTTTCTGAGGAACGGCTGGTGAGTTTGAACTGCCGACCTTGCAGTTCAAACCAACCTTGTAGTCCACTGCTTATCCTACAGCACTACATCAGGACTCATTCAGTACAGACTTCACTTCAATATAAAGAAAACATAAATCCTCACTAGTGGACCAATAAGCATCATCATGACAAACAGAAAATATTGAAGTTTTCAAGGACTTATTTTTAAAACTTTTTTTTTTTTTTAATCATGCTTTACAGAGAGCAAATTAGTTTTATATTTAGTTGTTTTTAAGTGCCATCAAGTCAATTCTGACCCATAGTGGCCCTGTATAGGGTTTCCAAGGAGCAGCTGGTGAACTTGAACTGCCGACCTTGCAGTTCAAACGGCTTTGCAGTCTGGCACATTAACCCACAGTGCCACACCAGGACTCCATAGTTTACATGAAAACTAACCCTGAGATTGGTTACATTTCCCACTATGTGTCAACACTCTACTCATTTCTGACCAGGGTTTCCCAAAACCTTTCAACCTTTCATCCAGATTTCTACCACTTCCTTCTCATCTTTATTTCTGGGCACAGGTTGTACTTTTGATCTTGTATAATTGATTGCTCTAAGAATCATGTTCCTCTTGGTGTTATTGTTTATCTTACTATTGTTTGCCTAAAAAATGTTCTCTGGGAATTACTTCACTTTTAGGTCAGAAGTGTGTTGTAGGGCCATAATCTTACAGGTTCTTCCAGTCTGTCAGACCAGTAACTCTGGTCTCTTCCTTGAATAGATTTTTTGTGTTCTACATTTTTCTTCTACTCTTTCTGAAACCCTCTGTGATACCCCAGTCAGAGTGGTCTGTAATGGTAACCTGCCATCATCTAGGTCTGGCCCTGGGGTCATGTAGGCTATGGCTCATGTTGTTCATCAGTCGTTTGGACTTCTATACTCTCCTTTGTTCTGAAAAGGAATAAACCAAAAGTTGTGTCTTAAATGGCTGCTCACAGGTTTTTAAGACCCAAGATGCTACCCACCAAAGTAGGATACAAAACATTGTCATTATGAGCTATGTTGTATCAATTGGCGTAGATATTTCCTGAGTCCATGGTCCTTCATTTTTGAGCCTAGGAACTTTGTCCCATGAAATGCTTGGTTATGTCTAAGAAGTTTTCATGGCTGTGCCCTTTGTGTGCTGTATTGTCTATTTAAGCAATATCTACAATCATGCATGTAGAAATATCCACCAGCAATCCTACATCTAAAGGTGCTCCAGTATACCCTTCTTCACCTCTTCAGCACACCTATCTACCTATGTATCCATTTGTAAATTATTGTTGTTAATATTATTATTGCAGGGTTGCCTAAGTTACAGTAATTACTGTGTTGTTATTGTTAGGTTATGTCAAGTTGGCTCTGACTCAGTAACTCTATGCACAACAGAATGAAACTGCCCAGTATGTGCCATCCTCACAATTGTTCTTATGTGGCCACAGTGACAATACATCTCGATGGGAGTCTTCCTCTTTTTTTCTGACCCTCTACTTCACCAAGCATAATATCTTTCTCCAAGGACTGATATCTCCTGATACCATGTCCAAAGTATGAGAGACAAATTCTTACCATCTTGGCTTTTAACGAACATTCTGGCTGTACTTCCAACAAAGAATTATTTGTTCATTCTGGTAGTCCATTGCACTTTTAATATTCTTTTCCAATGACATTATTCAAATGCATTGATCTTCCTTCTTCACTGGCCAACTTTCACATGCATATGAGGGGGTTGAAAATACTATGACTTGAGTCAGACACCATCAGTCCTCAAACCAATATATTTGCTCTTGAACATTTTAAAGAAATCTTTTGCAGCAGATTTGCCTAATGTAATATATCATTTGATTTCGTGACTGCAGCTTCTAGGAATGTTTATAATGGATCTAAGCAAAATGAAGCCTTTGACAACTTCAATATTTTCTTCATATATCATGATGTTATTTATTGGCCCAGTGTGATTTATGTTTTCTTTATCAAAACTGAGGTGTATTCCATACTGAATGCTGCAGTCTTTAAGTCTCATCATCAGAGTATTTTAAGTCCTCTTTACTTTTCAACAAGCAAGGTTGTATCATCTGCATATTGCAGGTTGTTAATGAGTATTCCTCCAATATTGATGCTACACTCTTCCTCATATAATTCAACTTCTTGGATTATTTGCTCAGATTAAATAAGCATAGTGAAACGAATAAGCATGTCACACACCTTTCCTAATTTTCAACCATTCAGTAACCACTTCTTCTGTTGTAATAACTGCCTGTTGGTCAATGTGCAGGTTCCTCATGAGTACAATTAAGTGTTCTGGAATACTCATTCTTCTTAATGTCATCCATAGTTGGTCATGATACACACTCAAAAGCCTTTGCTAAGTCTTAATAAAACACAAGTAAACATCTTTCTGGTATCCTTTGCTTTCAGTTAAGATCTGTCTGAAGTCAAAACATCCTCTTCTGAATCTGGCTTGAATTTTTACCAGTCCCTGTTGCTGTACTGTTGCTAACATTTTAAAATTATCTTCAGCATGTGATAATTAAATTTAATTTTAATTATCTACCTGCATGTGATATTGATATTGTTAGATGATTTCCACATTCCATTGGGCCACCTTGCTTTGGAATGGACACAAATATGGATCTCTTCTAATCAGTTCATCAGGTAACTGTCTTCCAAATTTCTTGGCATAGATGAGTGAGTATCTCCAGTGCTGCATCAATTTGTTGAAAGATTTCCATTTGTATTCTATCAATTCCCAGAGCCTTGCTCTTTGCCAAAGCTTTCAATGTGCCTTGGACTTCTTCCTTCTGTATCATTGGCTCTTCATCATATTCTATTTCTTGAAATGGTTAATCATTGATCATTTCTTTTTGGTACAGTGACTCTGTGTATTCCTTCTCTCTTCTTTTGATGCTTTCTTCATCATTAAATATTTTGCCCAAGTTGTTGTTAAGTGCTGTAGAGTCGGCTCTGACTCAGTGACCCTGCATAGAGTTTCCAAGGATGGCTGGTGGGTTTGAACTGCCAACCTTGTGGTTAGCAGTCCAGTGTTTATCTTACAGCACTATACCAGAACTCCATAGAACCCCTTAATATAGCAAATCAAGGCTTGAACTTTTTGTTCAGTTCCCTCAGCTTGAGAAATGCTGAGCATGTTCTTCCCTTTTGGTTTTGTAACTCCAGGTCTTTGTACATTTCATTATAATATTTGACTTTGCCTTCTTGGGCTGACCTTTGAAATTTTCTGTTCAGCTCTTTTACTTACTGATTTCTTCCATTCACTTTAGTTTCTCTATGTTCAAGAGCAAGTTTCAGAGTCTCTACTGACATCCAGTTTGGTCTTTTGTTTCCTTTCTTTTTATTTAATTTTGTTTATTAAATTAATTTTTTAAAAACTTTTATTGTGAATTGAGTGATAGTACATGGGAGAACATGGTTTTGCACTCATCCTATCATATTTTGTTTCATTGCAATGACTACAATCCCTTCCATGCATCATCATTTAACAGTATTTGCTTTTATTTCCTCTGTTATTTTTTCTGATATACACAACAACACTTAGGATTATATAATCATTTAAACAACCAAAGGGTATATTTTGCAAGCCTGCCTCCTGGCTGCCAGCACACAGCCTTTCTCTTTTCATGAGTCTACTGTCCTCAGCTGCTCTATCTCTCCGTGCCATCACCTCTGCATCACCTCAGAGATCTGGCATCACTGCTTCTCTGGTTAGGGTCCCGCATTCCGCTCATGTTCTTATCTCTTTATGGTCCCAGGGTTCACTGTTCTGTGTATGTAAGATTAACTACTCCCCCTTCTATGTTACACAGCATCTATCTTT